CCCCCCTTCGCCGCGCGCGGGTCTCTCCCTGCGGCCGGGTGGGCTGGCGCAACTTCCCACCCCCCGCCCCATATGCGGCCCACCGCTCGGCGGCGAGCCGCCCCCGAGGAGGAAAGGGTGCGCCGGCCGGGCCCTATGCTTGGCTTACCCGGGACCACGTAGGCGAGCGCCTCGCCCTCGTGGCCGCCTGGCCCGCGGCCTGGGCCCTGCGGCCCCACCGCCGGGCGCCGCGGCCCCGCCGCCAGGCGCCGCGGCCCCGCCGCCAGGCGCCAGCCCGTCGCCCGCAGCACCGCACCGCCCCGCCCCGCCGCCGTCAGCCAGCGCGCCAGCGCGCCCAGGTCAGCCCGCGCAGCAGCAGTCCCGCGCCGCTACCCGCACGCCCAGCAGCGGCGGCCAGGAGCAGCGCCGCCCCCGCCTGCCGGCCAGCGCGTCGGGCCCGCTCGCTGGCCGCGCCGAGCGCGCGGTCAGCGCGCAGCCGCCCGAGCGGGCGAGCTCAGGCGCGCCGCGCGTGCCGCGCAGGCGGCGCGCCGGGGTCCGCGGCGGGCAGCCGCCGCGCCGCGGCGCCCTGCTGCGGCAGCGCGGCCGTGCGCCATGCCTCTGCGCTGCCGCGCTGCATCGTCGCGGAGGATCTGCGGGCCCCTGGCGGCCCAGGTGCGCAGCAGGGCCTGCGCCTCCATGCCAGGCCGGCCCAGCGTCTCCACGGCGAAGGCATGCAGCGTAAGCCCCGGGTAGCGCCGGCGCTTACGCCCTTCGGCCGCCGCGGCCGCGACGCCGCCCCGGGTCGCGCGGCCGCGGCCGGCGCCCGCGCCGGCCCCGAGCGCGGCGTCGGTGACTGCGACGTCGACGCGCTGCCGCCCTGCCACAGGGTCGACGAACGCCACGTCGAGCCATCGCGCATGTCGATGGCTAGCCCGCCCGCTGGGCAGCCCGCCGCGTGGCCCGGGTTCGCCCGCAAGTCGCAGCCGCAAGCCGCGCCGTCGCGCCATCGCCGCGAGCGCGCGGGGCTGGCCCCCTCGGGCAGCGGCGAGCAAAGCCGGAGGGCGAGCGCAGACCGCGGGTGCTCGTCGGCGAGGAGGTGGTCCCGCCGCGTCGGGGGCAGGAGGAAAGCGCCCGCGCCTCTGCCGCCCGCGGAGCGGAGGCCGGCGGCATGGCTCGCGGGCAGGGGGGTCAGCAAGCGAGCGCGCCGCTGCTCCTGCGCCGGCTGAGCCAAGCGCTTCTGCGCCTTCTCCGGGCGCTCCGCTGCGGCGCAGACCCAGCTATATAGCGCTCGCGCCAGCCAGCCGCCCCGCCTGCTCGGCCGCCGCCCACGTACGTCTGAGTGCAAGAGGCAGCGAAGGCATCGAGGCTGGGCTCGCCCAGCTCACGGCGCACTTCCGCCAAGCACGCCTGCCAGGGGCCCACGCGCGCAGGCAGACGCCGTTGCTCCAAGCTGTGCCAGCGAAGGCCGCCGCGCGCCAGGGGCAGGTAGGCCGTCTCGCGCGCGGTCGCGGTGAACGGCTGCCCCAGCGCCCTCCGCGCGTCGCAAGACCAGGTCGTCGTAGGCGCGGGGCCGGGCCTCGTCGAGCAGGTGCGCGCGCGCGTGGTGGAGGGCGGCTCCATTAAGACAAACGTGCCCAAAGGAGCGCGAGCTCGTCCTGGAGCCGGAGGCCGCGCTCGCGCAGGTGCCCCAGTCTCGCCAGGAACGCGCGCAAGTGGCGGGTCACCGACTCGGGCACGGCCGCCGCGCCGAAGCTCGTTCCCGCGGGGTTCTGGCCGAGGTCGTCCGCCGCCGCCCCTCCGCAGACGAATGGGAGGCGGCTGCCCACGCACGCGAGGTCGGGCACCGTGGCGGCCGCGAGGCTCGGCGGGAGCGGCAGCCCGCGCGGGTTCCACACCTTGGTCTTCTCGGCGTTCAAGCGGAGGCCGCGCGCTGCCAGGAGAGCCGGGGCGCCGGCGAGGGCCGCGGCGAGCGCCGCCGCCGTGCCGACGACGAACACGTCGTCGAAGTAGACCACTACCCGTGCGTTCGGGTCGTGCCGGAGGGCGGTCGCCGCCAGCTCCTCGTAGAGCCTCGCCGTGGCTGTCGCGTAAAAGGCCGGCGACAGGGGGCAGCCCTGGTCAAGGCCGCGTTTCGCCGTCACCTCAGCTGTTGTTCCGGCCGCGTGGGCGCCGTGCGTGGTGTCCCCGCCGTACCGCGCCAAGGCGAGGCGCGCGAGGGGCGGAAGGCGCTGGGCGACCTCCCGGAGCACGACGTCCCGGTCGAGCTCGTTGAAGGCGTTCGCCACATCGAGTGAAAGCACTGCACTGTTCTGGGTCTTCTCTAAGGAGCAGTTAACGAGCTTGTGCATGACCTCCACGCCGTTGCGCCGACCGACCCCGTACTGGTGCGGCCCCACCGCCTAGGCGATGAACTCCCTCTGTTTCGTCGTTGCTGCCTGGTTTCTGGAGCGGGATTAAACGGCCACCCAACAGCGCCTTCGAGGCGGCCGGCGGCGCCTCGCCGCGCAGGATGACGGCGAGCACCTGCACCAGCGCCTCCTTCCCGTCTGCGTTCCCACGAAGCGTTGCCCAGTGTTCATAGCGGGCCCCCATGAGGCCCGGCCCGGAGTTCTGCGGGAACTTGTTCAGATGCCTGGCGGCCTCCTCCGCAGCGTCGGCCTCCCACGCTTCTGGCGGGCGCTGTGGTGGCGGCGGCACTCGCGGGGCTCCAGCCCCGGGGAAGAAAAGGCTGGCCGGGCGGGCGCGCGCCCCCGCCCCCACGGCGAGTTTCCCTGGGCCGCTCGCGGCCGCAGCGGCCCGGGACACCTCACCCAGCATGATGAGTTCGTGCACCCGCTTGGTCTGGGTCGCGGCGTCTGGTGGCCGCCGGCTGCCGCCGCCGCCATTGTCACCAGGGCGCGCTGTGGCCGCCCAGAGGCCCGCCCAGTCCTCCGCCCACGCCTGCCGGATCCTGGCGCCGATCACCTTCGGGACCGGAGGCTGGTCCGCATGCCAGTCGTCGCCGGCAGGGTGGATGGCGAAGAGCACGCGCGGCAGGAGCAGCAGGCGCGCCCAGGCAGCCTCTCGGGTCGGGTCTGCGGCCACCGCCTTCAGCGCCGCGCCCAGTAGCTCGCCGACGGCCACTGCAAGGCTGTCTGGGACAGCCGTCCAGGTGGGCACAGGCTCGCGGAGGGCGCCTTGGAGCTCGAACGTATCCCACCACGCCAGGCCCGGGAGGTTGCCAGCTTCGGCGGCGGCCACGTGCCGGGGTTCTGGGTCCCCCGAGGGTGAATCAAAGCCCGGCTGCGCCGCCGCACCGTCTCCTCCTCCTCCCTCCTCCTCCTTCTCCTCCTCCTCCTCCTCCTCGATCCTCTTCCTACTCCATCCCTTTTCCTTACAGATAACTTCTCCCTGTCGCACCCCGAGTCCAGTTGTTTGTGTGGGCCGGGCGTTTCGCCTGATACGTCCTCACCATTTAAAATTCTGACGCATAAACCATGGCAGCAGTTTCGCAGATGGAGGGCGGGTGGCTTTCAAAATGTGGCTGTCGCCTTAGCTCCGCGCACATTCGTTTTTAAAAACTTGCAGAAGCTGCTCAGACAAATCGTCGGACCACCTGGAAGGATCGAGTGGGCGAACCCGGAGCATGAGATCTTGCACGATTGGCACGAACATGTCAACGTCAAGATGGAAAACACCCAGAGCAAGCTGTGGTCTCACGTACTGTTACGACAATATTGGACACGTATTCTCGATTGGTCACCTCAAGGACAAACGTCCCAGGGACGACCGCGCAAGTCTTGGGAATACGACGCCAAGTCGTTCTGCGAGGAGTTCGGGGTGGGCGACTGGAAGACAGCAGCCAAAGATACGTGTGCCTGGGCCCAGATGACAGAAGATTTTTCTGATGTGAAAGCGTAGCCGTGTCCTCCTTCTCTCCTCCTCCTCCCCCTACTCCCCCTCCTCCTCCCTCGCCCCCCGCCAACTTCGAACGTGCATGCTTTGTCCATCTGCAACATGTTTCGCCAAGTTAAGGCCAGGTTTGTCAAAGACCAAATCTTGGCAAGCACGTCGCGTGCACATGCCCGTCGACTGTCGGAGCTTACGGCGCGACCAGACCTTGCTGCATTTTCCCGCCTGTACCCTATGTGGCCGCCCCCCGTGAGCATACAGGCCTGACCTGACCTGACCTGCAAGAGTTTCACGGATTGAGGACGGGTCAATTTCAAAATGTGGCTCTCGCCAAAGCGCGGCGCACATCCTTTTTAAACATTTACAAGAGCTTCACGGATTGAGGGCGAGTCGTTTTCAAAATGTGGCTCTCGCCTTAGCGCGGAGCACATTCGTTTTAAGAGTTTCGCGGATTGAGGGCGAGTCGTCTTCAACATGTGGCTCACGGCTTAGCGCCGCGCGCATTCGTTTTTTACTTGGAAAATCAAGAGATTCATGGATTCCGATCACCAACGTACCAGAAATGGTGGTTTGGAAGGATTCAGGATCATGTGGGTGCAAAAGTTACGTTGGGTCTTTGTGTTGAAGTCCGAAGAATGGCGTTCTGGCACGATTCAGCGTCAAGACGCAACAGTCAGGTTGATACATGCCGTTGGAAACCCGAGAACAATGTTTTGGCATGCTTCAGGGTCTTCAAACATGTGTTTTCCAACGATGCTATTCCATCCATGGACATGAACCGTTGTAGGGGCCTATGGAGAGGGAGCTTGGAGGGACGGTTTACTCCAACATCGCTGATGCCTCTTGGGTTTACACTGTTCCTCCTCATCCTCCACCTTCCCTTCCCCCTCCCCCCCCCCCCTCCCCCTCCCCCTCCCCCTCACTCTCACCCTCCCCCCTCCCCCTCCCCCTCCCCCTCCCCTCCCCCTCCCCTCCCCCTCCCCTCCTCCTCCTCCTCCTCCTCCTCCTCCTCCTCCTCCCTCCTCCTCCTCCTCCTCCTCCTCCTCCTCCTCCTCCACCCCTCCCGCCTCTCCCCTCCTCCCCTCCCCGCCCCCCCTCTATGCCCCGCCCCCCGAGACCCAGAGGCGGGCCTCCCTCGGCGTCCCGTTGACCGCCTCTGGTTTCCTGCCGCCGCCGCCGCCCGACGCCAGCTCGACGGCCGCCGAGCCGACCTCCGCGGCAGGAGCGCGGTGTGGCCTGGCGCGCCGCTGCGAGGAGGCAAGAGGGGGGGGAGGCGGGACAGGGAGGAGGGAGGAGGGGTTGGAGTTGGAGGAGGAGGAGGAGGAGGCGGAGGAGCAGGAGGAGGAGGGGGAGTTGAAATTGGAGGAGGAGGAGGAAGCAGGAGGAGGAGGAAGCAGGAGGAGGAGGAGGAGGAGCAGGAGGAGGAGGGAGGAGGAGGGAGGAGGGAGGAGGGGGGCGACGGGGGAGGAGGGAAGGAGGGAGGGAGGACGAGGAATGAGGAGGAGGAGGAAGAGGAGGAGGGATGCGGAGGAGCAGGACGGGGAGAAGGAGGAGGAGGCAGGAGGAGGGCAACGATGAAGGAGACGAAGAGTGGGGAGGATAAGGATAATCAGAAAAGGAAGGAGAGGGAAGAGACAGGAGGGATGAGGACGATGAGAAAGGAGGAAGAGTAGGAGGAGGAGAAGGAGGAGCAGGAGGACGATGACTACTCTAAACCCAGGACGCATCAACGATGCTGCAATAAACCCTCGCTCCAAGCACCCCCTTCAGATGTACCTACAAGAACCGCAGCTCACTGCGGGGAATGCCCTATTGAAAGACAACCGTCTGAGAATCCCCAATCGCTTCAAAGCATCTTTTGGGAGACTTCAGCGCCGCAAATTCACTTGAGTGTTGCGTCCTGACAATCCTAAGCCGTCCCAGAACACCATTCCTGAGATTTCAGCACTACTGAGTCCATGTAACGGCTGCGTCCTGACAATCCTTAACCGTGCCAAAGCACCATTCCTGCGACGTCAACAATATCCTTGAAACTGTTGTAGACTCTTACCACGAATGTGCGCGGCGCTGAGCCGATGGCCACGACTTGAAAGCAGCCTGCCCTGCATGCTCGGACATTTTTGCAAACTTTGAAAACGTACACACGACCCTGAAGCGAAAACCACATTGAAAAGGACCCGCCCTCTTATCTTTGAAAAGGTTGCCCACTTTTAAGACGATTGTGCGCGGCGCTACGGCAAAAGCCACATTCTGAAAAGCGTCCGCCCTCCAACCCTGAAACCGCTGCGAATTGTTAAGACGAGCGAGCGCGGTCTCAGGCGAGGGTCACGAGTTGAAAGCGGCCCGCCCTCGATCCCTGGAACTGCTGCCAGCTTTTAAAACGAATGTGCGCGGCTAGAAAACGAGAGCCACATTCTGACAACGATCGCCCTTCATCCTTGAATCTGCTGCAAACTTCAAGCTTCAGGATCACGAATGGTGAGGAAGTATCAGGAAAAAACGCCCAGCCCGCTTTACCGACAGGTCTGGGGGTGCGAAAGAGAGAAGTGAAAATATCATGAGAAGCAAGCCTCCCAAGAGGGCCCCAAGAGTCTAAAATTGTTGATTTTCCATAGTGTTTTCCGATGTGTTTTGCTTTTCCGCCTTTTCGGCTTCCCGACGCTCCAAGACGCGCGGAAGAGGCCCCAAAGACAGCCCCAAGATGGCCCAAGAGGCCCCCAAGACGGCCTCCAGACGGCCCAGGACGGCCCAAAGACGGCCCAAGAGGTCCCCAAGACGGCCCAACAGGGCTCCAAGACGGCACCACGAGGGGCCCAAGAGGGCGACCAAACATGTTGAAACTCTAGCTTTCTGCCCCCAGGAGCCCCAGGGGGCCCCAAGAGTGCCCCAAGAGGCCCCCGGAGGCCCTCACGAGGCCGCCCAGACGCCCCAAGGAACCCCCAAAAAGCACCCCAGAGGCTCCGAAACGGCCCCCGAGTGGCTCCAAAACTCGCAGTGTCGCTGTCCGCTCGGACCTCCCCGCGGAACTGCCCGAGACCCTCTGGCGGTGGCGGCGAACAGACACCAAACAAATATCACTCGCCTTTTCACCCCTTCGCAGCTTCTACTACCCCCAGATTGGCATAAACAAGGGGTCGGCGGTGTGGCGTAAGCCTAAGAATCTCATGAGAAGCGACGGATAAAGGCGCAGAAGTCAGAACCCAAGTCGAGTCACCAACGAGAAACCGAAAACACCAGAGAAGCTGAGGCAGCGCGGAGGCAGGGCCTCCGAGATCGAATCGGGCGGGTCGGACAAGACAGAAGGCTCGAGTGCGCCGCTACCCAAGCATCATCGACGGAGGCTCGCCTGGACGGGGAATACGAGTAAGCTGCTGAGGAACCCCTATATATGATCCCAGGTCGAGGGTTCACAGCCCCCACCCTAGATGGGATGGGCCCCAGGGCTCCACAGCCCCCCCCTTCAGATGGGACGGGGGGGGGGACGCTGACGCCGACGCCTACGCAGACGCCAACGCCAACGCCAACGCCGACGACGACGACGACGACGACGAAGACGACGGACGACGGACGACGGACGACGGACGACGGACGACGACAACGACGACGACAACGACGAACCACCCCCCACCCGATGGGAGGGCGGGGGGTGCACCGGTTCCCTCCGCCACGCCACGCCAACAGCGACGACCACAGGGTGGGGGGAACGATCCCACTCGCGAGGCTCACAGGCGTACCCATCCAGCGGGGTGGGGGCTCGATCAAATATGGATTTGGGGGGCCAGATCTGGATCATAGATATGAACATCGATCTCCCTATATATATATATGCGTTTATAGACTGCTAATGAATTCATACACGCAGGCACGCATACGTTACAACACTTTACAAGGTACTATACCACACCCATTAACTTACATTCCCTTGTATACGGCCATCCATACAAGCATGCATACATACATGCAAACATACATACATACATCTATACATGCATACATGCATACCTACCTGCATACGTACAAGCCTACTACATACGCACATACGTACGTACATGCATACAAACACATACACATACATGCATGCATGTATACATGCATAAATGTACATTCATACACATATACACACATGCACACATGCATACATGCATACATGCATGCACGCATACACACAAGCATGCATGCATACATACGTATATGTATATATATATATATATATATTATATATTATATATATATATATATTTATATACGTGCATGTGTGCATGCATACATGCATGCATGCATGCATACAAACATACATCCATACATACATTCATGCATGCATACATGCATGCACGCATACACATATATACATGAATACAATTATACGCAATTACGCACATCCATATATACACATACATACAAACACGCATACATACATGCATTCACAAATACACGTACACACATACACACATTCGCACATATACACAGACATTCATACACCCATGGCCCGAGCATTCGAAGCAGACGACACCGCTCACCAGAGCTGACAAAGAGGCTGCGCATTTTTGCTCCGCAAGGTTTACCTGAGGCAAGGTCGATTCTGCGAGCGTGCACGAGCAGAAGATACATGACATCAGCAATCACAAGAAACTCTGCCGGCAGAGATGCGCACTAAAATATACTCAAACTGGAGCCACGCTGCACACAACACTGACGGATGGCACACCCAGTCGGGAGGGCGCGGGCGGGTGAACCGCTAAAAGGCAGCAGAGACAGGCACGCTACTGCTGACGGTGAGCTACACTGCGGGGGGGCCAATCCAAATCAGAGACAAATCGTGGCCCGAGCATTCGAAGCATACGACACCGCTCACCAGAGCTGACAGAGAGGCTGCGCATTTTTGCTCCACAAGGCTTACCTGAGGCAAGGTCGATTCTGCGAGCGTGCACGAGCAGAAGGTACATGACATCAGCAATCACAAGAAACTCTGCCGGCATATGCACACTAGAAGCTACTCAAACTGGAGCCACGCTGCACACAACACTGACTGATGGCACACCCCATATCCCATATGATGGACTGAAGGGAGGAGAGGGAGGGTGCCGAAAAGAAATGAGGCCAAACATTCCAACGAAACAAGCGAGCTTGCCTGGGAAGGACTGAAGGCAGAGCGCGTGGCGCCTTCTCCAGCTGTCGCATCAAGGCCACTGCCTTCTCAAGCTCGCCTGTTCTCCGAAGATCGGCGCCCTGTCGTGCTCGTTGTTCCTGAGCCGCGGGCGGGGCCGGCCCCATCGTCGGCGTGGAGCGGGGCGATGGTGACCGTCTCGCGAGGGCGCCCCCTGGCCACCCCGCTCGCGACGACGTGTCCGTCGGCGCCATTGATCCTCAGCACGTTGGATGGCCCCCGTCGAAGCTGCTGACGAGCGTGCCCGCGGCCGCCTCTCCGAGGGGCCCCCGCTGGATCATGTGGTCGGCGATCGGGACGGCGGCCGCCCACGCCAGCGGGTCGCGGCCCCGCCCTGGCCCCGCCCGGCTCCAGCCGGCGAGCGCGTCGCGGCTGAGCGGCAGCGCGGCGGGGGCCCGTCGCGGGTAGCGCAGGTAGTGGATGGCGCCGTGCACCGCGTAGCGGCCCTCGGCCAAAGCCCTCCCGCCGAAGTAGACCGCGTCGAGGAAGTCCTCCATCGCTCGATCGACGAGGTCGTGAGTCTTGAGAGGGCGGCCCCGCTGCCGAGCCCAAACCTTGAACTTCGTGTAGGAGTCGAGGTACCTGCTGGCAGTAACGGGCCTGACTCGATGCGTCTGGAAGCAGGGCCTTGGCTGCTGCTTGGCGCGGGCGCGCCTCCTGGCCGCCAGGGCCGCCGGCTCGACGAAGCTCCGCCTCTTGCGGGCCCCTGCGACCGGCTCGTGCCTGGGCCCAGCGAGCGCCCCACTGGGGGGCCTCGGGGGGCCACTCGGGCGGCGAGCCCCTGGGGCAGCGCGGCCACGGCCTGACGAGGTCGCTGGCGGGCCGACCGCGGCCGCCAAGTGAGCCCCCCAGTCGTCGGAGACCTGTGGGTCGCCGTGCCGGCGCCGGGCCGAGGAGGCGCGGCGGCGCCCAGCGCCTTGGCCCAGGCACGGCGCAGAGCCGGTGGGCACGACCCCGCCAGGGAGGTCTTCCACCGACTTCGGATTGAACCATCGATGGCCACGGAGACTTCGCCCTCGAGGATCTCATGAGCATGGCCTCCAAAACATACACGTCCAATGACATATAAATCAGGATGATCTGAAACAACGAATGTAGGCTTCTTATATGTGCAACCGTATTGGCAATAGTGAATGAGGATCTTGACGGAATCGACTGAGGAGATAAACGACGCTAAGGGAGCCCACGTGAACAGCTTTGAGGACGCGGGGTTCTCGAGAGACCAGTGCACGTTGAAGTCCCTGCAGAGCCTCATGATGTTCAAAGTGCGACGGGCTAGCTGGAGCCCTTGACGGCGATGTTGAGAACGAGCAGCCCCGGTAGCCTGACTCCACGCTATACATGGAGTCCCAAAGTGCACCCACCAGAGCTTTCTAGATCTGATCCAAGACGCCGAGACAATAAAGACCCTGTAGCCCAGGATGTCGAAATGCGAGCCGTTCCTCAGGTCCACCGGGGTCGTCACCGAGAGGCCCAAGTCCCTGAGGGCGGCGGTGGGCCGGGCGCAGCCCGCGAAGATCTCGCAGAAAGCTTTGGGGCGACGGGGGGCGCAGGGGCGAGGGGCTGCGAGGGAGAGCTTTTTGCCTCCTGCCTTCCTCGGAGCAGGCGCGGCGATGACCTCCGCCGTCTCCGAGGCTGCCCCTTTGGAAACCTCCGGGATATCAAACGATTGTGGCGGCTGCGGCCCTGGCGCGACCTCTGACAGGCAGCGGCGGCCGCGGCGGGCATGCAGGCCTGCCACGCAAGCGAGGCGCCGCTGGGCGCCGTGCGCGGTCAGGCCGCCGGCAGAGCCCGCGGCTGGTCGAGCAGCCCGCCAGCCCTCGGCTGGCGGCGGCGGCCCCAGGCTGGCCCCGATGGCGGCTAGGGCGGCGGGCGCCCCCCACTGTGGCTGCCCGGGCTGCGCCTCCCCGCGGTCGGCCGCTCTGGAATCGTAGTCGGTAGGGTTGCGGTCCGTCTCGACGTGCCGCTGCCGCCACTGGATGTCGTCGGAGATCCGCCTCGCGGCAGCGACCCGACAGAGCTGTCTGAAGGCAAAGTCACGGGCGAGGCCCTTCTCGAAGCTGAGGAGGGCAGCCATGTTGTCGCCCATGCTGCCCACGCGGTGGCCGTGCATCCTGGTGCTCCGCGAGGCCCTGATCAGGCCAAGCAGCTGCGCGCGCGCCTCCTTCACGTGGATAGGGGCCGCGTACCTCCAGGCGCCTCGGACGATAAGAGCCCAGCGATGGCGGTCGACCACGGCGTCGGCCACGGGAGTCACCATCCCGTCGAGCTCGAGCGCGGCCGTGCGTGCGGGCCGACGGTCCAGGCAGGCGCCCCCGCGATACTCGTCGTCAAAATCAAAAGCAGGGTCGCCCACTAGCCCCGCCGCGAGGGTAGCTGTGGCCTCGGCGGCGATGGCGGAGGGCGGGCCGTCGGTCGCACCAGGCTGGAAGGCAGGCTCTACAGCGCCCCCGTACGCTGAAGGTGTCGAGCAGCTCGTCGTCCGTCAGGCAGGCCTCGTGCAGCGCGTGGCCGTAAATGCTGGCGTCGCTGCAGTAAGTGACCGGGGCCCAAGGCGCCCCAAGGTCCACCTCCACCAGGAAGATCAGGCCCTTGGCGACACGGATCTCGTCCAAGAGGTCAGGCTGGAACTTGGCGAACCTCTCGCGGTGCTCCGCGATGAAGTGGCATCCCAGGTCGAGCAAAGCCAATGCGGGCCGCATCAGCATGAAGAAGTTCACGAGGTGCCCGTAGATGGTGCGGAGCGCGTAGCCTGTAGCACCACCTACGCCTATGAGGCGCTGGAGGCCCAAGTAGAGCTTCCAGGCCCTCTTGTCGGCGTGCCTGAGCTTCCGCGCCTGCCCGTCGAAGACCACCCCGACAGACTCGTAGAGACGGGTCGGCTCGACCTTCTCGTGGTAGGCGAAGTTCAGGCGGTCCAACTCCGCGCAGACCTCGTCGAGGGCCGAGCCAACGCCCTCCGCGCAGACCCCGAAGAGGTCGGCGTTGTCCACGTAGGGCGAGACCAGAGGCAGTCCCATGGCATAGGGCGGCGCGGGCCTCTTGTCCGAGATCACACACGGGCATGGGGGCCCAGCAAGGCGAGTGGCCGCCTCCGCCCCCGAGACTCGGTCACAAGTTGGCAGAACCAGGGACCAACTCCAGCCCATCGGCAGGCCCCTGAAGACTGGGAGACCTTTGTCTCACTAGAGACCTGGCCGAAAGTGCGAATGTCCGTGAAATAAACGTCGGGGTCGCCAAAATAGCCTGCGGGCTCTGGGAAGTCGAGGCCGAACCACTCCGCGAGGTCGTCGTCGAAGAACTGGTAGAACCCGTCGCGCAGGTCCACGCCAGCGCCACGCGGGTCGACGTCAGAGTCCGAGAGGCCCGCTCGGCGCAGCGCCGAAGGTGAAAGGTCAAGGCCAGCCAGCGCCCCCGCAGAGCCGAGAGCAGAGTGAGGAGGCCGTCGGCGTAGGCTCGAAGCTTCACGACAGTCGAGGACTAGGCGCAGCATGCCGTCCTTCTTTGCGACGAAGAAGGCTCCGATCCGGGCACGGATGCCCAACCTGAACCCCGCCAATCCCACGGCGCGCAGGCGCATGAAGTCCCTGCGAGCCGCCCTGTCATGGCGGAGGCGAGGGCCCCAGTAAGGCCGCACTGGGGTGATAAGCCCCTGATCTGTCAGCGCGTCGATCTCCGAGGCGGCGCGGTAAATCACGCTGTCGGCGTTGTCGAGGGCCTGGGCGCCAGCCGGCGGCAGCCTGTCACGAAGCGGCCGCGGCGTGACCAAACCCCTGAGGGCCCGAAGCTTCGACGGGTCGTAGGGTCGAAGGTGCTGGGGCTGGTCTGAGCGCATGTCCGTGGACTTCAGGAGGCCGTAGAAAGCGTCGTTCGGCGTCAAAGCTGGCCGAGAGGGGAAGCGCGACACCTTGGCCCAAGTCCTGCGAAGGATGGAGCGCTGCGCGATGGTCGGGCGCCGCCCCGTCGGAGCTGGGTGGGCCCTCAAGGCCCGAGACGGGGCATCAAGTGCGTTGAGGGAGCGAAGCGCCCCCCTGCACCGTCTCTCGCACGAAGGCTGCCGACCGCGGCAACCGCGCGCGAACCCCCATCGGCGAAGAACCGGAAGGGGGGGGGATCGCCGTGAGCACGGCCACGAAGCGCACGATAGTCGCCTCGATCAGCTTGGCGCCCACGTCGAGCTCGGCGAAGGCGGCGGCGAGGCAAACGTCGTCGGGGATGGAGCCGAGCTAGCCTCCTCCCTCTGAACCTCGCCGCCGCGCCCCCGGGGTGGCTAGCCGCCGTCGTGGGCGGCCTCGGCGCCGCGGCCGCGGCCTCCGCCGCGCCCACGGCCCCGGCCGCGGCCTGCCTCCTCGCCTGAGCCCCTGCTGCCGCCTCCTCCGCCGCCCTGCGCCTGGTGGCCCGCCCCCCCGTGCCAGAGGCGCATCTGCTTGAGGCGCTGCGCCTCGCCCCGCTGAAGGCCCGACGCGAAGTTGCCGAACTCGGGGAGCAAAGCGCGTCCATCCTCGCCGAGGGGTGCCGCGAAGATGCCCTCCAGGTTCGCGAAGTCGGGCACCTTCGGGCCGCGGCGGACCGCCGTCGCGACCTCGAACAGCCAGCGGCTGAGGTACTCGGCGCCCGCCACGTTCGCGGGGCCGACCTGGTCGTACGAGTAGAGGGGCGACAGCGTCTCGCAGAGACGCCGATGGACGCGGCAGACTACCCCGTGCTGGCTCACCCCCGAATTGGTCCGCCAGTCGAGGTGGTGGCTGGTGAAGTCGCGGTTGGCGGTCATCAGCGCACGCTGAAGCTCCGGCGCCGCTGCATTGCCCTGGAAAGGCCACCCTGGGCGGTTCACTGGACGTGACATCTTGGCGATGGTCGGGAAACTCATGCGCGGCTGACCGCCCACGTGCTCGTCGCCGAGGAGGCGTGGGTCGCGCCCTGGTCCAGCGGCCTTCTAGCGCTTCCACTCGGAGAGCTCGGACTCCTCGACCAGGGCGGCAGCGACCCACTCCTCGTCGATGCGAAGGAGCGCCGTGTTCTCGCGGATGACCATCTGATCGCCGTCGCCGATCACACCCTTGGGGATCTCGTCGCCGAAGGCAACGTGCGCGGGATCCGCGACACGCCAGCGGCCCCACTGCGGCAGAGCGCCGGCGGCGCCAACCAGCCCGAAGACCTCGAGGAGGTCGCGCCCTTCACGACGCATGCGAGCCAGCGACTCTGGCTCGATCGGCACGTCGAAGAAGTAGGTCTCGGCCAGGTACCGCCTGGGCAGATCCTCGTCGCGGCCGAGGGGGATGACGCGATGCTCTGACAAGTCGGCGAACTGAACATCGAAGTCGGGTGTCCCCACAATCCATTTTCCCGGAGTGGGAGTGGCGAAAAGCAAGACCCGTCCGTGGTACCGCAGCCCGTTCGGGTCGTCCCAGAAACTGATGAGCACCTGGCGCTCGGGGATGTCCAGGCTCTTAGACATGGGCCCTGAGAGAAACCGGGGTTGCCGCTGAACGTGTGAGAGCGAGAGGTGCTGGGTGAACAGCGGGAGCGTCGACCAAAGGAGCCTGGCGTACCACTTCACGATGACTCGAAGCCGCAGAGCGGCGGGTAAGGGATACTGCACACGACCCCAGCAAGGTGAGAAGCGCACCCACCACAAAGCCCAAGATGAACAGAAGCGTTAGCGAGAACTTCGAGCAAGCTTCCTCCTGCGAGCTGTCGCAGGTACCTCGAAGATGAGCTCTGGCCCTCGAGCACTCCTGATAGGCGTCCTGGATGACGTCCAGCGAACGCGTCAGATCGCAGCCCCCCAGAGATGGCGAGGTCTAATCTGAGTCCCCGTGGGGCGTCACTCCGCTGGCCACCCCAGCAGCCCCCGAAAGTGGCGACAGTCTCACAGATCGCAGCCCCCCACGGATGGCGAGGTCTAATCTGAGTCCCCGTAGGGCGTCACTCCGCTGGCCACCCCAGCAGCCCTCGAAAGTGGCGACAGTCTCACAGATCGCAGCCCCCCACGGATGGCGAGGTCTAATCTGAGTCCCCGTAGGGCGTCACTCCGCTGGCCACCCCAGCAGCCCTCGAAAGTGGCGACAGTTTCACAGATCGCAGCCCCCCAAGGGATGGCGAGGTCTAATCTGAGTCCCCGTAGGGCGTCACTCCGCTGGCCACCCCAGCAGCCCTCGAAAGTGGCGACAGTTTCACAGATCGCAGCCCCCCAGGGATGGCGAGGTCTAATCTGAGTCCCCGGGGCGTCACTCCGCTGGCCACCCCAGCAGCCCTCGAAAGTGGCGACAAGATCGCAGCGATGGCAGTTAATCTGACGTCGATCAGCAGTGGCGACCCCGCAGGGATGGCGAGGTCTAATCTGAGTCCCCGTAGGGCGTCACTCCGCTGGCCCCCCCAGCAGCCCTCGAAAGTGGCGACAGTTTCACAGATCGCAGCCCCCCAGGGATGGCGAGGTCTAATCTGAGTCCCCGTAGGGCGTCACTCCGCTGGCCACCCCAGCAGCCCTCGAAAGTGGCGACAGTTTCACAGATCGCAGCCCCCCAGGGATGGCGAGGTCTAATCTGAGTCCCCGTAGGGCGTCACTCCGCTGGCCACCCCAGCAGCCCTCGAAAGTGGCGACAGTTTCACAGATCGCAGCCCCCCCACGGATGGCGAGGTCTAATCTGAGTCCCCGTGGGGCGTCACTCCGCTGGCCACCCCAGCAGCCCTCGAAAGTGGCGACAGTTTCACAGATCGCAGCCCCCCAGGGATGGCGAGGTCTAATCTGAGTCCCCGTGGGGCGTCATTTCGCTGGCCACCCCAGCAGCCCTCGAAAGTGGCGACAGTTTCACAGATCGCAGCGCCCAAGAGATGGCGAGGTAAAGATAGGTAAAAAGCAAGCGAGGAGAGGAGGAGCGAAGAAAAGAGGATGAGGAGGTAAGAGCAAGAGAAGAGACGAAGAGGGGAGAGAGGAGGCGGGAGGAGGAGGAAGGTGGAGACCACACCACAGTGCTCTATTCAAAACAAGTACCCAACACAGGAGGGTTGGAAAAAAATAAAACTCTTCGAAGACGACGACCCTTGGGAGCTTCCGAGATCCACCGAGCCTGCGATAACCTCCCAAAACCTCCGAACATCTCCGACGACCACCGCAAACCGCCGAAAGTCATCGACGAATTCGAAGACCTTCAAAGATCGGGGCGGACGAAAGAGGGGACGTCACAAGTGGCCTTAGCGGATCAGCTCACGCAGGTGGCTTTCGTGGCGCCACTGGGCGCTGGATGCGACCATGTATCGAGGAGAGTGACCAGCGGCGGGGCCGAAACCAGCTGCACGCAGCAGAGTTCGTTACCCGCACACCCCACTCATCCCCTTCCCTGGAAGCCTCTCACATGTGGTCCGAGTAGATTGGGTCGGAGGATCGCGCCGCATCGCCGATGCATGGGCGGCGGCGGCGGCGATGCATGGGCGCAGTTGGCGTGAAGAAAATCAGGCTCCACATCAGATCGAGCTGCATCGCCGATGCATCGGCGATGCGATCCTCCACCCCCCCTTGCTCCAACCCCACTGGGGAGGCCTGGATGTCGTCCGACCCGAGAAGACCTTCAAACATCGTCGCCGACGACGGCCTGGGGCGCCCCCGCCTGGCACGCTTCTTGCGCGCCGCGCGGGGCTCCTCGGAGCGCATGAGCACGTGGCTCCCGGCTTCCGCGCTGACCTCCGGGAGGGGGGGGGGCGGGGGGTCAGGAGGCTCGCGCTCGCTCAACGTCGGTATCGGTCACTGCCGCACTCGTCCTCTGGCCGACAGACACACATGCGTGACACGATGCGCTAAAAACAAACCTTCCCACCACCCGGCCGAGCTCGGCATGCTGTACCACGCGTTGAGCTGGGCACGAGTATGTGCTTGGTCCTGCTCTATCTGCGCGATACTGCGCGGATCTGCAAAGCAGGAGGGGGGTGGGGGAGACAAAACTCGTGCACGTCGCTCGGCCAGGCGACGCTCCTCACGCCTGGCCCGAGCCAGGGCTCTGTTGGCAGCGATGTGGTCCAGTTGTTGGGAGGAGAGAGGGAGGGGAGCAGGCGGGGGAGGCGGAGGCAAGGCAAGGGAGGAAGGAGACAACAACCAGTCCGCCGCCTGCTCCTCCTGGGAGCCGAGGAGCTGATCTGCCACCTCTTGCTCCGCCTCGGCATCCTCGGGAATCTCCGGGGGGGGCAGCACAGGGTCAGAGGTGGGCCGAGCAGCTTCTGAAGTCTCCTCGGCTTCATCCGAATCAGAGTCGTGAAAACGAAAACTCTCGTGCTGGACCCTGGGCCGAGATCTCCTGCTGATCCCTGCGAAATCAAGGGCAGGCTCGAAACTTTGTTGAGCCTCACGGTCCCAGGAAACGAAAAAATCGCAGAGGGACTCTCGAACTTCCTGCAGATCGGGCGGGCACTCCGCCAAGTCGCAACCGTCATCGTCGGATGAGGAGGGAGGCTCCGAGGACGGGGAGAGAAGTGCACTGACGCTATCCACGATAGCTGTGGCTAGGGCGAGGCACAGGCTGGACGGGTAGGTCTTCTTAGAAGCCGTATGGAACTGCCCTGCAGCATTCTTTCCTAAAAGCGTGCGATGGGCCTGGCGCCCGTGAGAACACCTACCTGATCCAGGAGTGGCCTGAAGGAGACCCGGCGGGGTCCCCATGCGAATAGACAGAATGGTCGTGGGCGCACGGCCCACCGTGCTGGGATTCACCTGTGGATCCAAGTGCTCGCATTGATCGAAAGATGTAACTCGCGCACAGGGCGCGGCAGCAATGGCCTCCATGGGCCGCCATCTAAAACTGGAAGGGGCCCTAGGGGCCCATGTGGCTGGGGAGGGGTGTTCTAGCCACCCCCCCGCGCCTGCCCTCAGATGTTCTGCTAGAAGCCGAACCAGAGAATGTAAAAGTTGAGAACCCACTCGAAGATGCTCAGATTGTCGCCAAGACACCCACGGCATACCCCACACGTCGTCGGAGGACCTGAGTGGGGGGGGGCCTCCCTCATGCCACCTGGAAGCGGACCATGTCTCACAAGCCCCCCCCCCAGTGTTGACCACTCGGCGGCATCTGATGTGTTCAATCCATTCTAACAACGTGCTCTCTCGTGTGAGGTCCCCTCGAACTGCATCAATTTCAATGTCCACGCTGAGTACAATCAATTCTATGGACGGCTGCGTGCAAGTACACTCTACATGCCACTGCACGTCGCCCTGCCTCCTGCGTCCGCAGTAGAGGTTCAACGCGTGCAGGGTAGGTCTGCGAATTCGAATCGGCACCGTAGTAGTGGAAATTCCCGAGCATTCACAAGGATTGTACACGTAGAACGGGACCTCTAGAGAAGGGTCCTCGGGGGTGGTTCATCAGAGAATATCTGAAGGTACTGGTCAATCTTGCCGCTGGGGATGGCAGGGTCGGTCTCGAGCAGGACGCGGAGAGCGTCGCGTTGGGAGAGGGGCCAGGAAATATCTCGAATAAGCTCGTGCCGAGTCGAACCGATTAGCTTGGTAGCGGGTACCTCCGTGCGCCAGCGGCCCTGTCCTGCTGCGCGCTGCACTCGGAGGCGTTCGTTTTCTGCCTGCTGCAGTCGCCGATCTTCAGCCACCGCTCAGCGTGGCTCAGCAATAAGCAAACCTACCGCACATCGCGGAGAGTCGAATGCCAAGTGCGCCGCGAGTGCCGATCGATGAGCAAACCGTTGAAAACAGGAACGACAATGAAGTTCGGGCCCTAGGCAATTCCGAATGAAATCGACCCTGGAATGATGATTGCGCTGAATGTGGGCACGTAGCCCACGAACACGAGCAAACCTCATAGAACACCACAAACAACAATGTATGTTGGCGTCCGCTTGCCCCTGTGCTCGTAAACGGTGGCGAGGATCGCCCCATGCTGGCGGCGCGCCTGCAGACTCGAGAACACTGAGTATGTGCGCCTCTGCACTTCTAGCAAGTGTGTCCCTTTGCAAATGCCTAACATGGGATCCGAGGGCCTGCTTGATGGTTTGCTTCCACGACGACGGGGATTTCGTGGCTTCGAGCTCCCAGGTCGACATGTCGGCTTCTGGGTCGGCGAAGTCATGAAAACGATGGGAGCACAACTGCAACCAACGAAGATCATCCATAATCATCTGGCCCCAGGTCCCCGACGAGAGACGCATGGCATCATGTACTAGAGCCAGTATGTGAGGAGGCCCTGTCCGAAGTAGACGACCGAACAAACGAAGTCGATAAGCGGAAAGGAGGGCTTGCAAAGGTGGTCGACACACTTGCGCGAGCACGCAATCATGGGAAGCTCCTGAGTCGCCCGTCCTCGGGAGCTTGGCGATAACCCTATAATGCGACATCAGGCCGTCCTGCAGGTGACGGCATTGCGCAGACGAAAGAAATCCCCAAGTACGGGCCTGGAAAAAGCCTCCCAGAGCATACCAGGGAAACCAAGACTGCAAGTGCCACGTGCTTGTCAATGACCTTGTGTTTGAGCACCTTGGACTTGAGAACCTTCCAGGCCTGGGAGCAACTGTGGAGCCTGTGTGCCAGCTCAGGCCCCATAGAGGC